TCCTTCATCTCTGATTATCAAGTCATTGCCATCAGTCCTGTTACCCGTTAAGTAGAGACAGCCATTGCTGCTGGCAGGCATCTTCCTCATTGTTGGATTGTTCATTGCCACCTATGAGCCACAAATGGGTTTATGGCCTCGTGTATGCTTAATTAGTTCAACTTCTCTAGATTATGGTTTAAATAAGTGAAGACATTAGTCTCTGACATAATTGGGCTACAAAGCATCTTTTCAGAATATTTGTGTAGCTTAACTCTAGATTCAGAGAGGTGTGGGTGAGGCTTTGAAGAGGTCACAGGGTCAAGGAGGTCAGGATTCTCCTACTCCTATGCTTGCAGGAGTGGGGGCCCCCTTCTAGGACCAGAGAGCGGGCTCTTGTCTAACACTTGGACATGAATTGTCCGAGCAGACACACGTGCTTACAGAGCAAGAGACTCTATTGGGAAGGGGCACCCAGGCGGAGCAGGAAGGTAAGGGACCCAGGAGGACTGCTCTGCCACGTGGCTCCCTGTCTCGGGATTCATGGTGATGGGGTTAGTTTCCGGGTTGTCTCTGGCTCCTCGTTCTGATTCAGGGTCCTTCTCGCATCCCTCAGCCAAGATGGATTCCAGTGAGGAGGATCCTGGGAGGTTGGTAGGATGTGTCGGACCTTTCCGGAATTCTTCCTCTTGGCAGTGGCTTGTTAGTCCCGTGTTCCTTCCCAGGACCTCCTGTCTCAAGATAACTCATGCAGAGGGTTACTGTGGTGCCTGGCCAGGGTGGGCGGTTTCGGTCACTGTTTCCCCTCCCACTGTCTCCCCTATGGGTCGCTCTGCAAGGAGCAGGTTTGAGGCAGAACAAGAGTTGCAAGCATGGGCCCCTGTGCTCTCTAGAAGAGCGGGTTCTTTTGTGTTTTGCCCACAGCTGCCTCTCTCCTTGCCACCCTTATGTCATCATTATTGTCCACACCTGTGCTGTTTTATGCTGGCACACACCTGCTGGAATGGAGCAGCTGCCATATTTCAGAGCTGCTCCCCAGGACAGATGTCATGAAGCCTCGTGGCAGAAATGAAATACACCTTCTGCTCATCCCTGCCTGTCCTTCCTCCCAACTGTTATTGCCCTCTCCTCCCCAGGTGAGGTCACCAGGCTGCAGACCCGCCAACCTGCTCAAGGACCACCCAGGAGATGCTGCCCACACATGTCCACTTCTGTTACTTGGCTTCTATTATTTTCGTTAATCTTTACAATTTTTGGCTGCGCTGGGTCTTCGCGGCCGTGTGGGCTTTTTCTCTAGTTGTGATGAGTGGGGACTGCTCTCTAAGGGCAGTGCATGGGCTTCTCGTTGCAGAGCACGGGCTGCAGGCTGCATGGGCTCAGTGCTCGCAGCTCCCGGGCTCCAGAGCACAGGCTCAGTAGTTGTGGCCCACGGGCTTAGTTGCTCTGCGGCATGTGGGATCTTTCCGGATCAGGGATCAAACCCCGTGTCTCTTGCATTGGTAGGCGGATTCTTTACCACTGAGCCCCCTGGGAAGCCGGTTACAAAGGAGAGAAGGGGCTAAGTGAAACCTTCGTTTTCACCCGCCCAGACCTTTGGGCAAGATCTCTGGGCGCATTTGAAAGCCACTTTAATGAGACCAGGAATCATGAAATTTCTTTTCTCAACCATGGCCACTACTTGGTGCTTGAAAAACAATCTAACTTATAGCTCGGGCTGCACGAGTTGTGAGCTGGCCTTGACTTGAGTAGAAAGACAATAGAAACAGGAATCAGAATCAGAATGCTGACAAAGAAGGGCGACACAGCTGTCCCGTCCTCGGTCATGAACAGGGGCCTGCACAGTGCCGGGCCCTGCTCCGCAGAGCACACCCCCGGCCCAGGGCTGGCAGGAAGGCTACGGTAGTTTGTGTCCTTGCCTTAGTGCTGTGCTAACCCAGGTAGAAGCATCCAGAGGGCTGTCACAAAATCCCAGCTCCCAGGCTTCCCTGGCTTGGAAACTCACAGAGGGACCTGGCATCCGAAATGTTTAAGTGCTTCCCGGGTGCATCCAATCTGAAGGTAGCATTGGAAACCCCTGGGTTAAAGGAGTCTGTTTAAATGTGTGGGGTTGAAAGGAGGTTAACAGGAGTTACTGGGCTACTGTCTTTTTTTTTAAATAATAAAGGTAAATAGAATAGAGTAGGGGATCCCCAACCTCTGGGATCTAGCACCTGATGATTTGAGGTGGAGCTGTGTAATAATAATAGAAATAAAGTGCACAATAAATGTTATGTGCTTGAATCATCCTGAAGCCATTCCCACAGCCCTTCTGTGGAAAAATTGTCTTCCACAAAACTAGTCCCTGGTGCTGAAAAGGTTGGATGCGGGTGGAATAGAGGCATGCTAATGAGCACAGGTGTGTGTGTGGATGGACATTGCAGAGAGGCTGTGCATATGGGATGCTGACACCTGTGCACGTATTTATACATTTGGAGGAATGCTAGATCCACTGACTCTTCTTCCTTCCTTTTCTTAGCAGCACACGCTCAATCGTTCAGAGGCAGCCAATCTCTCTACAGATGTCATTCTGCCTCTACGACACTTCTCAGATATTCTTGTTCATTTCCATTGCCACCATAAGGAAATGTTCTTCTCCCTTGTCTCAATAACAAATAGCCCAGCCTCTCTTTCTGCTGGGGTTTACTTCCGTAGTCCCCATTCAATCCATGTTCCACATGCTGACCGTACCTGAGTCACTCTCGCTTTTTTATCACTTTGCTGGTCCCAATGTGTGCATGCTGCACATAAATCACTCCAGTCATGTCCGACTCTTTGCGACCCCATGGACTATAGCCTGCCAGGCTACTCTGTCCATGGGAGTCTCCAGGCAAGAATACTAGAGTGGGTTGCCATGCCCTCCTCCTTGGGATCTTCCCAACCCAGGGATTGAACCTGCATCTCCTACGTCTTCTTGCACTGGCAGGTGGGTTCTTTTCCACTACCACCACCGTTCACACGTTTTCACACGTTGTGTCTCATCTTCACATCCATCCTGCCGGGTAGGCATCATCATCCCTGCTCCGCAGAAATCAAGGCTTGCGTGGGTTAAGTACCTTGATCAAAGTCCTGAAGCTAATTAAGGAAATCCTGGGTGGGATTCCAACCAGCTGCCCCTCCTTCCAGGCTCTGCATTCTTTTCACCACACTGCCTGGATTGTCTGATTCCTCCAGGGTGGCTTCTGTGACTCCTTATCGTCTGTTTACNCCTGCTCCGCAGAAATCAAGGCTTGCGTGGGTTAAGTACCTTGATCAAAGTCCTGAAGCTAATTAAGGAAATCCTGGGTGGGATTCCAACCAGCTGCCCCTCCTTCCAGGCTCTGCATTCTTTTCACCACACTGCCTGGATTGTCTGATTCCTCCAGGGTGGCTTCTGTGACTCCTTATCGTCTGTTTACCAACCTACCTTTCCACTCCATATGTCCCATTCCATCATGCAGCCATGCCACCCGCCATCTGCTCAGCCAGTTGCTTTGCCTGGAGTGTTCTTCCCTGCCCAACCAGGGCTCCCATGACAGGGACTCTTCCTGTACTGCTGATAATACCCTGTGTGGAAACTGCACACAGCAGGACAGGAAGGCTATTTGCATTTTCTCTCCAAGGAACCCTAAAATAATGCATCTCCTCTTCACCCTCCTACGTGATTCTGCATCATGAATGTAGCATGTACCCAGCACACATGTCTACCTTCCTGCTGGGGGGGGCATCTTGAGGCTCAGTGTCATCCCTTCCTCCTGTTTCTTTTGTTCCTATTTTTATTGGAGTATAGCTGCTTTACAATGCTGCGTCAGTCTCCGCTGTGCAGAGTGAACCAGCTCTATGGATGCACATATCCCCTCTCTCGGATTCCCTTCCCACTTGCGTCACCACAGAGCATTGAGTCCTGTCCTCCTCCTGTTTCTGTCTTTGGTGTCCTGGGCACTGTGAAGCCAACAGCAGATATCCAGTAGATATTTGTTAAACAAATGAGGGGCAGACAAGGAGGGGAAAGCCATCAAACTGTTTGACCCAAGGAAACTCGATACAGCTGGAGTGCCCAGAACAGTCAGGAAAATATTTACCTGAAGGCCTTGAGAGAAATGTCCAGTGTTTGGAAATTTCCAGAAGGAAGTGAAGAGCTAATGATTATCCTACTGAGCTAATCTGGCTTGTCCATTTTGCCTACCCCAGGTTTTTTGTCTCTTTGTAATTTTATTTCCTTCAATATGCTTTGCTAATTACCACCTGGTAAAAAGCCCAGGAGTCCTATGCCTCCAGCATGGACCTGAGAGATAAGATGTAGCTGGGAGACAGTCTGTGAAAGCTGTGCTTTTCAAGACTTTCACCGGACTCCTGGAGAAGGGAAAGGCTATCCACTCCAGTATTCTGGACTGGAGAATTCCATGGACTGTATAGTTTATGGGGTCACAAAGAGTCCGACACGACTGAGCGATTTGCACTTTCACAAGCCCTAAAGGGGGGCGGCTGTGGGGTGGAGGAGGTGGTTCTTATGCGTAGAGGCAGAATCTTGCAGGATGGAAACAGATGCCCAGGAAAACTTTTTTGCCCCTGGGAAAGTTAATTCTTTAACCATTTAATTAGGGTTAGTTTTAATGTTAGTGGCTCAGTCATATCCGAGTCTGCGACCCCCCTGGACTGTAGCCTGCCAGGCTCCTCTGTCCATGGAATTCTCCAGGCAAGAATACTGGAGTGGGTAGCCATTTCCTCCCCCAGGGATCTTCCTGACCCAGGGATTGAACCCAGGTCTTCTGTATTGCAGGCAGATTCTTTACTGTCTGAGCCCCCAGGAATGAACGGTTAGCATACCAAGTAAATGGTTTTTGGACTCAAGGTGTAAAGCACTTGGCACAGATGGTCAAAGCAAGGCCAACCAACAGGCTAGGTGGGAGGGTTTAGGATGCACAGGTGTGCTATGCTGCAGGAAGGGGGCCTCCCGGGGGGTTTCCATCAGCACGGGCCTTGAGACTGCGTTCTGCACCCCACAGGTGAGCGTCCTCACCACCCTGGAGCGGAGGTTCAACCTGCAGAGTGCCGACGTGGGCGTGATCGCCAGCAGCTTCGAGATCGGGAACCTGGCGCTCATCCTCTTCGTGAGCTACTTCGGGGCGCGCGGGCACCGGCCGCGCCTCATTGGCTGCGGCGGCATCGTCATGGCGCTGGGGGCGCTGCTGTCGGCGCTGCCCGAGTTCCTGACCCACCAGTACAAGTACGAGGCGGGCGAGATCCGCTGGGGCGCCGAGGGCCGCGACGTCTGCGCCGCCAACGGCTCGGGCGGGGACCAGGGCCCGGACCCGGACCTCATCTGCCGCAGCCGGACCGCCACCAACATGATGTACTTGCTACTCATTGGGGCCCAGGTGCTCCTGGGCATCGGTGCTACGCCCGTGCAGCCCCTGGGCGTCTCCTACATCGACGACCACGTGCGGAGGAAGGACTCCTCGCTCTACATAGGTAGGCCTTGCGCCAGCGCCCGCGGGGCCGCGGTTCGCTTTGTGGCTGATTGCCTGTTTAGAGAACCAGGGCGTGGGAACAGAGGAAGGAAATTTGGGCCCCAGAACTTTAAGTTTCGTCCGGAGCCCTCATTCTCAGACTGGGGGTGTTTGGGGAAAATGCTGAGGCCTGAATTGCACACCCCAGAAAATTCTGGGGGTCGTTGGGGTGCAGCCTGGACTGGTAATTTTTTAAGGGGCTCCCCGGGTGACTCCAATGTACAGCAGAATTTGACCTCTGTTGTGCAAGAGCATCCACAAGCCTGGGAAGGGGGAGGAGACTGGGGGGAGTTTTATATATATATGTTTATCTGCCTTTGTGTGTGTGTGTTTGGACTTTGGGCAGCTTGCTGTTTGCCAGCAAGGAATCCTTGGGGGTCTACACATTGGAAAGCCCTGTTTTTAATCATCAAAATGACCTCCTGGTCGTTGTCTTATTGAAGCTCAAAGATAAAAGTGATTGCATATGCTCAGCATTTGGTATTATTCAAAGTTGGTAACTGTGTGTGTGTGTGTGTTTTTCCCCTGTAACGAGGTTATTTACTAGAACCGGATATTTGAGAAGAAATAAGGTACATGTGAACTTTTGAAAAAAGTTGTTTTGTGCTACAATGACTTCTGTTATTTTATACTGGAAGGATGGAAACCATCTGTCAGTGTTGGGGCTGAGAAACAGCCAGGGGTTGAATTACAGCAAACGAGCTTCTCCGTCGCTGCTTCTGGGCGCTGTTGCATGGTCATTTGTAGGGCAAGGGCCGGCCTGCCGAGCATCTCTGTTTTCTTGTTTACTGAGTTTAATTTTGCCTCCCACCATCTGTTAGATTCTATGATACGACCCCAGTCACTGAGTGCTTACGCTTTGGGGAAAAAATAAAATAAATTACCTCCACCTGCAGAAGCTTTGCGCCTCCCCAAAGCACTGTGCCTTGGAGCATAAAGTTAATTACAATATGGAGGTTTAGGTTAAACTAGAACTTGAACAGAATTGGTCAGAAAGCCTCCTACCTGCCAAGTTTCCCCCATATGCTGTCCAGGCTGTCTGAGGGTTCAGGGCAGTTACCCCCTGAATGCTAATTTTCCTTGGTGACTTCATGTTCTACCTGTGAGGTAGATGACTCTATTGAATACATACGTCGTATGTCTTAACCCTCTGTGAACAGGCTCTAGAGTAGAAAGGTGGAGAGTATGCATCTTCCCATCCAAGGGGTGGAGAGCTTATGGGCCCAGTCACAGCCTACCTGTGGAACACAAAGGATTGATGGCTAGCCCCTCTGCTCTTTGCTTAGGGGTTTCCATAATTGTGTCTGGAGGTGGGCACAGTGGGGAGAGGGGTCTAAGGAAATCATTTACACTTTGATGCTTCTAAGGCTTCAGTGAAAACCCCTCCAACATGAGTCTGCTGCAGGCCAGGGAATGGGCCACAGCCTATAGCCAAAATAGTCTCCCCAGGTCCATCCGGGCCAATAGACTCAGACTTGACTGATATCACTCTGGTACCCCAGGATAGAGAGATTTTGGTAGCAGGAACAGCAAGTAGATAAATCAGAGCCCAGGGAAGGAGGGAAGGAAGTGGGGAGCGAAACGCTGAGCTCTTGTGTCTCACGATGAAATCAAGTAGAAAAATGTCTCCCCAGCATCTCCTTGAAGCCACAGGCGAGGTAGATCACCTCTGCTTGGAACCCACGCCTGGAGCTGCACGCTCAGCGTCCTCCTGTGGAAGTTCACTCTGATGAATCAAGCATTTTCCAGCACTGATGGGGCCTGGTTCATAGGTCAGGCTTAGGATGTGGACTCATTTCAGTTTTGTGAGAGGTGGAAGCTTGGGCTATAGGGCTGACTGTAGCAGGCACGGCCCTTCTCTTGTTCTGAGACTTTTTCTTTGGGATTTACAGTGACTCTCTAGTAGGGGGAACGTCTCAACCAAATTTCTTGCTGGGCCTCCTTTTCCTCTGACAGTTTAGCATTCCCAGAGTTTGGAGTGTGTTTGTGTGCTGCGTGGGCAACTGGGTGGCGTCTGGCCAGATTCCAGGACATGACAGTCCAGGGCTGTGAGCAGGCCTTCCTGAGTGCTTCTGAGCTGGTTTCTTGGGTCTGTGTTTTGAGCAACAGAGAGCAAACTTCTGCACAAATTGGCCTCTGTAGGTGGCCTTTTGTCCCATGCATGGTTGGAATTCTCCAGGAACAATTTAAGAAGACCATGCATATGCGGAGCACAACTGATCCAATCGCTTATAGTACAAGTCAGAAAAAATGTTTGTGACCATGGGACTGTTTTGGCGTTTATCCCCTGCAAGAGGGAGCTAGTTTCTGAAGCCATTTAATTGGCTTCCGGAAGTATTTAGGAGAGCCGACAGAATGGGATTGGTATGAATTATGGGGTCTTAACTCCCTGCAGGAGGACAGTCTGAAGGGACTGACCCTGGGAGGTAGGTGTCAATGGATGCCCATCACCCGTCGGGGTGGAGTAGCATGTGTGCCCTTTGGCTCTGCCCCTGTGGAGCTGGTTAAGAGAGGCCCACCTTGGTTCTGCCCCTGCAGAGCTGGTTAAGAGAGAGAGGCCCACGGCCAGCCATGTGATCACAGGCCTGACATGTGAGTGTGAACTCGGGACTGAAAGGGTTTTAAACCCTGCACGTGTGAAGCACAGGTGGTTCACAGCTGCTCCGTCCCCAGGGGTGTCAGCACCGACCCAGCCACAGGCCACTGGTGACAAGGCCTACCCCCTGAACAGTTCCTTTTAGCTTTTGGTTATACAAAATCCTGATTCTGCATCAGTATGCTTCTGCACTGGTGACTCACGATGGGTTACTTATATCGTGAGTCACCAGCTGGGGGCCATCAGCACATCCATGGCCTTGACCTCGACCCCCTACGGCCAAGGGGAAAGGGAAGCGTTCCATCTCAAATCAAGCTGATATTTTCCACCCTAAGTCACTGTTTGCTGCAGCCTCTTGTGGCTGAATTACTGCCAAACTCGCGGATTCCTTGATGGTCATTCACAAGGGGCTTCTAGGGCTGGCACCATTCTGCAGCTGCTCCTGCCCAGCCTGGGGAGGGAGCCAGGGGAACTCATTACCAGGGGACAAAACCCAATGAATGGGGACACCACGCTGCTGGCAGACTTCTCAGGACCACACAGTGTGGAGCCAAGCCTCACGGCCCAGCCGGAGAGTGACCCGGGGGTGGCACGTGGCACTGTCTATCCCCAGAGGGACTGATGGAGAAGAGTGGCAGGGGGAATGGAATGGGGGCATGAGTGGGGTCCCCGAGCCGACCTCTGGAAGCTGCTCCTACTCCTCACCCATGTGCTGACCTTCCAGGAGCTCGGCTTTCTTAGCTGCTCTGTTTCTCCGAGTTCAGAGCACAGCCTGTTGCCTTGTAGGCAAGAGTTAAGTAGGCTAATGGAATGGACTCGCCGGGTCCTTTCATTAGGCTGCTATGTCAATCAGTTGGTGCCTTTTTCTTTTCCCTTTGAAGAGGAAAAGACTCCAAAGGAAAGTGGTAAGGTTTTTTTGTTTGTTTGTTTTTAAATAACTTTATTTTTAGTTGAAAAGTATTACATATTCACTGTGAAAGTATAGAAGAAGAATCATTTAAGAATAATTACTCTTAGCTTTATGTTTATATAAAATCCTTCTTTTTCTGCATTGTTATGCTTTTCTACACACAAAAGAGGTCTTTATCGTGAACATATCTTGCTACTGTCTTTCTCAGTCTTTCTTGAACATTTCCCTGTGTCATTAAACATTCTTCAGTGATGATCTTTCTGCATACATCATATTCACTTGTGGATATATACTATAATATTAAATGCCCTCTATTGTAGAACATGGGTTTTTTTTTTAAGTTTTGCTCTTATGAAATAAAGCAGAGAAGTGAACTGTGATTCTGAAAGGTTAAGTAACTTGCCTATGATAATGAATGGGGCCGAGCACAAGGTCTGAGAGTGACGTTTGTTTTGGTACATCTGGGACAGGGCTGAGGTGGGTGGGTCAGGGGACAGAGGGCTGGGGGTGCTCCAGAGGGTCGGGAGCATGCGAGGGCATTCCTCAAGACAGCCTGAAGCCTGTCTTAGGGAAGAATCAGAGGTGCCAGGAAGGTGGGAAGAGAGCTGGGTGTCTCAAATCCAAGGGCAGAGATGCAATTGGAATGGGGAATGGGTGTGAAAGCAGAATAGAGAGTTGGAGGAGGAGGAGAGAGAAGGGAGTCCTGGCTAACAGGGCACATCTGGGGTCTGGAAGGATTTGTGCCCTGTTTCATGGTGCTTTGAGTATTGATGAGTGCAGATTAGAGCTGGAGGATTCCATGTTCCCCTCACCTCTCTCCAGAACTATGGACAATGTACTCTCACTCGGCTGTTCATTCTATCGGAACCACAATCACCATTGGGAAATTACCCTTATGTCGAATTGGAAATCTGTCTCCTTACAACTACAACGTTCCACGCACTGGCTCTGGTCTGCCCTTTGGGTCCACCTTGGGAAGTGGCAATCCCTCTTCCATGTTTGGTCACCCCGCAGCTGGCCGAGCACCAGCCTCGCATGGGCAGGGAAGGGCACCTAAAACGTGGCTCCTCTGTACTGTTCCTTACTTGATTTGGTTTCCTGCTACATTCGGCTGATGTTTCCCTCTTTATGAGGGATGATGCCACGGCTGCAGGGCTTGTTACTTGGGGGCAAGACCAGGTGAATGGGGCACGCAGGCTTTGGGTGCTGTATTGCTTTGCTAGGGCTGTGTAATGTAATACCAAAGACTGAGTGGCTTAAACCAGTGGTCCCCAACCTTTTTTTAGCACCAGGGACCGGTTTTGTGGAAGACAATTTTTCTGCCAACACAGTTGGGGGAGGTTGGTTTCAGGATGATTCAAGTGCCTTACATTTATTGTGCACTTTAATAATAGAAATGTTAATAGAATATTCAGTTCAGTTCAGTCGCTCAGTCACGTCTGACTCTTTGCAACCC